TATGCAAAAAAAATATAAATTATGTATAATCAAAAAAATTATGTATAATAAATAAATATCTATAATAGAATAGGGTATTTCCACATCCACATATCTTTAAAGCTTAACATTTTGTTATTGAAAATTCTTCTGGCGCCGCGTAATTCTCACTACATTTCTTTTTTAGACCCGTTTGGTAAACTCACAGAATACGCTACACAGTTCTGTGCTTCCATTTTTCACCTTTGGGCATAGGTAGTTGTAGCCTGGTGAAGTGGGCGGCAGCTAGGCAAATGGAGTTGCAAAATAAAATGTAAAATGAAAAAAAAAGAAGAAGAAAAATTGCAACATGCAATGTCCTGCGTCCAGGACTTGCAGTGAGTGCACCTGAATGACAACAGTTGCTGAAAACTCGCATGCAAAATGCATTGCAACATATTCCATATAAAATTTGTCTAGATTTTCGTTTTTTCTTCTTCTACTCGTGTATCTGCTATTCAAATTGTTGGGTAGCTGCATTTGATGGGTCGATTTGTGTGTCGTCGGTTGAGGCAAATGGATTGCTGCATAAATTAAAATTGTATTTTTCATGTAAATATTGCAAAAACTTTCAATATGCACGCTTAGCATTTGTTTTCCTTATGCTTTTTTGAGGCTTTCAACTTCATTGGATTTTATGCATGTTACATGGCATTTGATGCGGTTGGTTACATTTTGGTCATTCCAACTCTATGGAGGGCCAAAATTGTGATGAATCAATGATGTAATGCTTTCTGTGCGTGAATAACAAAATGTTTATGAACATATTTAGCTGTGCAGCAACATAAAGTTATATTATACTATTATATTGCTTATAAAATATTGTATTTTAATAAGTAAATTAAATTTATTTGCCCAAAAATTCGTGTGGTAATAATTATTTATATTCATTAATTATTTTTAGTTATTTTTCGCTTGTAATATTTGAAATGCATGAATTTATGTTTTTATTCTATAAAAAAAATATTTATGACATACATAAATACAAATAATAGTTTTACGTTTTAAACTTGCTATACAACACATTTTATTTAATTAAATAGTTAAATTTAGAATTAAGAATTAAGGATTTAGAATTAAATTTATAACATTTCATATTTTACTCTCACAAATTTCCTAACTAAAAAATAAATTACGTCGAGAATAAAAAAAGTAGTCAAAACTTTTTTTAAATTTCCGATATACAGCTGTATAAAAAAGTAAACTACAAATGATACATGAAACATTATAATTAACCATACAATATTTAAAATATTCTTCGTTCAAATATATAAATAAATATTTAAAAACATTTTCTTAAAACTTTCTAAGAATTTCCGTAAAAAGACTATATAAAAAATAAAATATTAAATAATTTATAATTATTATAAATATATTTAACACAAAATTGATTAAATAAATATTTCTAAGAATTAAGAAAATAAAACAGACAAGTTAAAAATAAGATAAAATAAAATAAAATGATACATAAGACATATTATTTATATATTTTTATTTATTCATATTCAAAGCCTTCTTAGAGTCTTTAATAGAAAACTGTATGATAAAAATTAAAAAAAAATTACATATATATGTGATAAAATAATTAGGTATAAATAATATTGTTTTCATTTAAATATATTTTTAATAAAAAATGTATTTTGTCAGTTTTATGAATATAAATAATATTCAAAGCCTTCTAAGAATTCCTGGTTAACCATCAGGGACTGAAACTCTGTTTATCGTAATTGTCGAAACGTAGAAAACATGACAACAAACAAGTGTCATGCAAAAAATGTCAGATTTTCATTTTGTATAATGCCAAAAAATGAAGAACAAAAAAATGCCAACCGAAAAGACAACAACAACAAATATGTTGTTGTATACACATTGTTGTTGTTGTTGTTGTTGTTGTTGTTGTTGGTGCATTGTCGCGGCATCGCCAGCGATTCAATACAAATATGTACAATAATAATAAAATTTGTATGCAAAATAGGCGTTGAGTGTTAAATGCATGCAGTGAATGGTTGGGGGTATGTGAGGCTTCAGGCTGCGATTTACATACACAAATATGCAGGCAGTGTGTTGTTGTTGTTGTCGTTGTTGTCGTTGTTGTTGTTGTTGTTGTTGTCGTTGCTGCCTGTTGAAAAATCGTAATCAAAAATTGCGCAATAATTTGCATGTTTATTTAATAGTCAAGCGCAGAGCGACCCAAACAAAAACTCCAATCTTCTCGCTCTAGCCCAAAACAATCCACAAAAGGACATTTGCTGCCCGTATGTGTGTGTGTGCGTGTGCGTGTGTGTGTGCGGTTGTGTGTGTGTGTATGTGTGTTTGTGAATTGCATTTCCATTGCAGTGACAAACAATTTGTGAATGCGCCAACTGCAAACTGCGTGCGTTTCTGTGTTTGTTTTTAGTTTTTGGACATTTTTGGTTACTTACCTAGCTGACCACGCCTCCCTATTTGCTGCCTGCAGCGAATCCTTAACCCACTGTTGTCGCACAATGCTCATTATTGTGCCTGTGTGCGTGGTGTGTGTGTGTGTGTGTGTGTGTGTGTGCGTATCTCTCTGTGTGTGCTCTTAATTTTTTACTTTATGCTCTAATGAAATTGTCTGCGGGTACCGCTCGCGTATGATCCCAGCTACCAATCCCTCCCCACCACCACCACCATACCCCTTCATATTTATTTTGCATTTTGGGTATTTTTACCATTGCGGCAAATGCAAAGTTTGCCGCAGATTTTGATGATACCCCAAAATTTGGCGGGCTTTTACAGCAAATTATCAAAGGCTCATATCCCGAAATGTTTTGAGGTTTGAATAAAACCAATGCCAAATATACTTATAAAAGGGAATTAAACCAGATTTGCTATGGCCTGTTATCGAAAAAATTAATATATATTTTATGTAGAATGAACTAAGTTAATGAATATTTGTGCGAAATCTAAATAAATATTAATTTTAAAGACTTTTAATGTATGATAAATACAATGCTAGAAAGCAGATTATTATGCAAAACGATTAGGCTAACGCGGTTTAAAGTCAAGCCTCTTTCGGGCTTAACTTTTGCTATGAAGACTCTAGATTTCAGGCTTGACTTTAGCTAGTAAGGCATTTTGAGAGTTCCTTAGCTGGTTAAAATAAATTTAATAGTATTCTTAGCCGCAGATTGTGCTTCAGCTCCACTTAATTGACATTTAAAAACAAGTTAAAAACTGACTAGTCTAAAATCGTTGCAATAACAATCAATTCAACCGAACATTTTTCTGGCAAGCCTGCATACAAATTTAGTAGACACACGACAGTGATACAGTGTGTATTTGCAACACAAACAATAATAAAAGATATATATATCTATATATATATATATATATATATATATATATATATATAGCCTTATCGTCATAAATGACTTCACACACAGGGAGTGTAACGCACAGATGCCACAATATTTTGACTGTTTTGTTATTTATTTGACATATTTATGGGGTTCATAAATACAGATATATATATATATAAATGCGTTTATTTCGATTTGCTATATTTTTTCTTTTACTCTATTTTCGGAGTTTTATGGCAAAGTACAAAATAAACAAGTTAGAATGTTCCACTCGGTAGAACGCGACTAGGGGATATCCTAACTTTTCCTTATTTAATTTTATTTTTCTTAACCGATATTGATAGAAATTTTCAGCAGATTATTGTGCAATAGTTTATTCGTATACTCTCCAAAATACCTATATTGTTGGATAGTTCCATTTTGGTGTAAAATAAAAGATAGTTTATATATAAGCTGAACAAGTTTTCGGTTCCCGAAAACAAACTCGTTTTGCGGATCTCCATTTAAGATTCATATAGTTCTAATAGGATTTGATATTGGGACGGAAGGACTGATGAGCATTACAGTCAATGGGCTAAACGTAAGCAGCTGCCTCGATGGCTTGATCTCACGGTTCCTATTATAGGATTATTTAAAGCGACAATGAGCTCCACGTCAAGCAACTGCTCGACCCCCATTTGGGTGTTAAGCCACAAACAAGAACGGACAGACTGACGAACATGGCTAAATAGGCTCGTGTATTGATGCTGATCAAGAATATAATGCTTTATGCGTTCGAAGCTTGTTGCACACAGTTGCAAAAGAAAAAACAATATACCCACTTTACACTTTTTCAATGGGTTTAGGGTATGAAAAGAACAAGAAGAAAAAAGAAACAGCAGCCACAACACCAAATTTCAGCAACAAAACGTATTTATACAGCGCGTTGTTGTTGTTGTTGTTGTTGCTATTTGAAAGTTTGGACTACTTCCAACAGAAGTGCGAGCCCTACACAACAACACGTCAGAGTGTGTGTGTGTGTGTGTGAGTGTGTGAGTGTGTGTTGTGACTGTGTGTATGCTGCTCATACGCCGCCTGGTCAGAGTTGCAATAGCAAAACATAAAACACTTTTTATATAATGATTTTCAATGTTTTTCTTTGCCCATTTTTTCCCACTGACCAGCTGCATGAACTATTGACAGCTGATGATAAAAAATAGTTGGAAAAATAGAAAAGAAAAAATTTGTATGCAATGCTTTAGGTTAAAAAAAGGCATACGAACCGAGTTAGTTACGTTTGCAATGAAGCTAGAATTCGCTTTGGGTTGGGAAAACTAGGAGAAGAGAGAAAAACGAATCAAATCTGTAACGAAAGTTTCGCAAAAAAAAACTTGACAAAATATGCCCCAATTACAAGTCTTTAAGCATTTGATGATGCACTAAATAAATGACGCATAGATAAAAAATGGGCATCGAAAATGAATAAACATGAGAGTAGATGAATTGCCCATTTGAAAATAAAATCTTTATAACTACATATATACAAAATAGTTTATATGAGAATTTCTTCAAATTTAGTTTGAGTAAAATGAAAAAGTTGAACTCTTAAGACATGTCTTAAGAATTGTCTAACATAAATGGCAAATGGATTTCAGAAATGGGACAACAATTGCTAAAGAGTTAAGTTTAAACTCGGAACGCTTATTCAAAAATATATTTAAATGCCATTAAATTTGCGAAATATCAAATAACAAATGTTGTATCAACAATAAAATGCAAAATTGTTGATTTTCAATTGTGTCATTGGAAGAAAGCTGCAGCTCCATGACGATATTTAACTCAAATATTCAGTTGTTAAGCACACAATTTCATTTAATTCACGCATTGAACATTTCCCGCCTTAACACTTTTAATTTATGTATTTACTTTTTGGCTTATTTGCTTGCCTTGCCGTTGACGTTGCCCATTGCGTCCCTTTCATGCCCACCGTCACCACCTGCGGCATTTTCACTCTGCTACGTCCAGGGCCTTATTGAAATTCCAAAGTTGAAATGGCTGCAAGACAGTCGGGAGTTCTGGCGGGGCACGGGCAGCTAGTCGAGCTGGTGTTGGCTGCGGTGTTGACAGTCGACATCGTCCTCAGTCATCAGCTGTTGAGCACTTTTTCTGGTCAGGTTGTTGCGGTCCTCGCGGCGGTCGCAACGCTCGCGTCTCGCTCTGAAGTGCTTCTGGAACTGGTTCCCATCTGACTGGCTCTCTGTGTGTGTGTGTCTGGAGGTCGTTTGCTGTGTCACTTCTGTGGCAACACTTACAAGGCAACTCAGTGGCGGCACCCACGTTTTTGGCAGCACTTTGCCAGACCACAACTACCACAGCTACCCTTCGCATTCGCATTCGCCTTTGCTCTGCTCCGCGCACCCCTCACCAACTGCCGGCGGGTATCAAATGGTTTGTTTGTTTTGTCAGAGTTTTGAACAACGCTTTCGAGGTGTCTGTCCCGCCGTTTTCGATTGGCTGCTTAACTTTTGATCAGCTTTTAATGTCAAAGCCAAATGCATTTCGTCTACAAAGTTTTCAAAATGAACTGACTTATTTAAGTCAATGACTGAGGCCACAGCAACAAAACAACTAATCTATAATCATGACAAATACAACAAAACACCATAAATCCGACACACAAAACATTTGCGAAAAAGGTTTCCGAAAACTCACCTTGACAAAAAACAAGCCAACAACATGTAGCCAAAATATTTGTGAACAGTTAACAAATTTGTAGCACAAGCAAAAGCAAATAAAAACTAATCACAGTATTTATGAGTATGAAAGCGCTGCAAAATATGTGAAAAGTTTTTCACTTTTACTTGCTGCGAATTCTGAAAAAACTTTTTGTTTAAAAGCTAAATCAAAAAGTGAAAATAACAGAAAAACTAAGAAATAACAAAATAGAAACGGAAAAGTTTATTGCTCATAAACTAAATTAATTACAAAAATTAAAAAAGCAGTAAACTCATGTAACATGAGAGAACTGGACTTAACATTCTTATGTGAACTTAAATTGAGAAAAAACTTGATATTTTATAAGCCGACATTAATAAACAATAAGCATTCACATATTGAGGAGAAGGCGTGAACGCCTTTCAACAGTTATTGAGAGTCGCATAGAAAGGCGCTATTTAATAGAACCGTATTGTGGTCATGAGAATCGCATAGAGCGGCCATGAATTTAATTAAGGCAGCTTTTGTTATTTGCAAAAATAGTCTTAACTCTTCGATTTTCGACAATTCTCAACGCAGCGCAATTTCAATTAGTGCAGCAAACATTGAAAAGCTCAAATACTAACAACTTTGACCTTCCCCTAGACTCACAAGAAATAAAAATAAAAAACAAAACACAAACCAAAAACCAAACTCTATATTGGGCACGGCATATGCGCAAATTACAAGCCTGAACAATCGAAATAGAAACAGAAGACACAGCCCCCGCACCTGTCTGAACTCTGTGTGGTCCAATACAACCCGCTGTCTTTTTCCCCATTCTGGAACAGCTTTTGATAAGCAAGTTGCAAGTTTTTGACCTGACCCCCCAGTACGTGTTTTTCTGCTTTCCGTAGTGCGTTTCATGTGACAACAAATGTAGCACTAAATATCACCATATACGACCAATAGGTGAGCCCTCTTCCGCTTAGCTTCGATGTTTCTTTTAGTACCCTGTATGCTTTTGAAAATGGACAAAAGGAGTGTAATAAAGATGTGCGATGTGATCAGATTGAGCAGCCGAGTCGATATCTCAGAGACTTAAAACCAAGAAACATTTTGAAAAGTATGTCGAAATTAGTTTTTATATATCTATCTATATATCTGAAATAATCGCAATCTTACTAAATAGAAATTTTTGTAGGGGTCAGATTTAGGAAGCAATTGACTGGGGCTAAACGAAAGAAGAAGCCTCTGGCATCGGCTTAAGGCGAACTTTCCCTTGCTGCTATATGATAGGGAACTCTCTGAACGGAATACAGGGTATCACATATTTGGGCATGCTCAGCCCGAGCACTTTCATTTGTTTTCTTTTCCTATTTTTTTTTCATACATTTTCACAATGCTTTTTGTTTTATATTGACCCATATAACGAGCGTGCGCTTTGTTTTTGCTCTAGCTGCACATATCGTATCGCCGTATTCCACAACCCCCCCCCCCCCCCCCCCCCCCCCCCCCCCCACCCCCCTCATCACCCACCATAAACCGACCCAAGCCCCCATTGCATTGTTGTTGCTATCGGACAAGGGCCTGCAAGTTAAATTGTTCTTCAGCAGAGGTTGGTTGCATTTGTCGTTGTGGTTGCAGCCCGTATACAACAACAACTTTTTCCCTGGCATTTTATATATTGTTGTTAAAAACTTTTACAATCTACGTTTGTTAAGTATTTTAACGGCTTTCCCTAGCTGAGCGGCATGCGGTGCTTACAGGTAATATAAACCAATGAAAATTGCAAGGGCAGGACTCATTGTCGAATCCCACACTCAACCCAACAGCAGCTAAAGTTTCGCCATGTCTGGGCGTTGGGTGTTTATCTGTCAGTTTATGTTTACAAATGTCCACATTTAATGGTTCTCCATTTAGCTGGTTGCCAAGTGTATTATAGAGAGAGTGGAGAGCCCGTCCGTGCAGTAGCTGAACCCAGCTTTATCATACTCGCATGCTGTAAAATTCTATTGTAAGTTTGGTTTTCCGTTTTTCATTCTGTCTGTCTATCTATCTAACTGTCTGTCTGTCTGCCCTTCTGCTGTTGTGCGCTTCCTTTTTAGAGCTTTACATTTTTGCCATATGAATAAGCTCTAACTTCTCTATGGCATTTATGTCTTGGCCAAAAGTGTAAACAACAAAAGTGCTCACAGCAAGCACTTATCAAAATGTAATTCTCAAAATATGTTGCTGCCCTTCTATGCGATTTTCATACCCTTAAGTTTTACACAAATTTTTACCGAGCTATACATTTTTTAATTGACGTGTTGTTTAAAATGCTAGCCATTTTAATATGTTCAGCTCAGTTGCTCTTGAATTTGATTCTTGACGTATTACATACGGATTGCCCTTCTATGCAATTCTCATGATCTTATATTCTCATGAGCTCAAATGATGCTTAATATGCTTAGCTGAGTTGCCTTATAAACACGCTGTGGCATATTAAACCATCTAAAAGGGATTTGGCGTTTTATACGCGGATTGCCCTTCTATGCGATTCTCATAAGCTGAAGTAGACCTTTTATAATAAAATAAACATAATATAAAAGCGTTTATTGTTTTTATATGTTATAATATATCTAGGATAATAAGTATGTTTTTTTTTTTTAAATGAATGAACCAAACTTAAGCTTGGTTTAGTTTACAAAGTCGGTTTGAGCCCATGTAAAGCCCATCAAAAAGCCCACGCTGATTTTTCTTAAATTCTTGACAGCGTATTAACAAATTATACTAAATATACTCTCCCTCATCTTAAAGTTTTCTCACGTAAGGCTCGTTGTCACAGCTCGTCGGCTGTGCATAATTTCATTTAGTGAAACACATAAAACTATATTTCTATACTCATTTCACTCAATCTCTCTCTCTCTCTCTCTTCCTTTCTGTTTGTTATGCTTTGCAGATTTTATTGTGGCGCTCAAGGATGTTTCGGTTAGGATACCACAGGCTGTTAAACGCGGCAGCAATGCCTTGTTCACCTGTAATTATGATATGGAAAACGATACGCTATATTCGGTGAAATGGTATAAAGGCAAACGTGAGTTTTATCGCTATACGCCAAAAGAGAATCCCGCAATGAAAGTGTTTGCCATGACAAGTGGCCTTAATGTCGAGGTGAGTATAAAGACAAGGAACATACAAAGATATTATATATTATATATAAATATATGTGTATATATGGCTCTTGGTTTGCTTTGAGTTTGGCTCACATTAAGAGCACATGCTGCAGTGCGTGTCATAAAATAACAAACGCACTGTAAATTATGCCCATAATGGCTGATTGCATTAAGCCAGTCACAGGAAAAATCTCATTCGTTTTACCCAACAACAATCTCTGAAACTCTGAATGTTGTAATTATGCGCAACAACAACATCAACAACAACAGCAACAAGAAGAACATCAGCAGACAGAACAGTATCCAGTGAGTTCCATTGCCCAATTAGTTGGCAACGCGATTGACTTGCGGCTCATTAAAAAACAATATATGTAGATTGCATGAAAAAATACTACCATAAAAGTCGAACAGCGAAGTTTTCAACTTTAATTATTACGTTGAAATGCATGCAAGCCAATTAGGTGACCGGGCAAATTGGGTTAAATGTCCGGCGTAAAACCGAATCCACTTCAATTCACTTCACACCCAACCGTGTCGTCGATCGAGTCTAGCAAGAGCCATATTTTTGCATATTAAGTCCCATCTTTAAATGCAATTTACTCAATTTAATTCTTATTAAGTGGATTTACGCATGAGCACCAGCACTCGCCGTGTCAAAAATTAAATATCGCGTTAACCATTTCCTTCACTTCGAGTGCCTCATGAGTGCACAAGTGAATACTCGACCAGAAAGCAAAACATTTGATGCCCCAATTAAATGAGCAGCTAATGTGTTTTTAAATTCTGTAAATTGAGCTGAATACAAGTTAATAAAATTTAAGGCGAGCCTTTAGTTTGAACCACTAAATTAATTTCAATCAATTATTTAAATGTTCAACAAAGAATTGTTCGAAACTTTTAAATGACTTTAATTAAATAATTAAGAACAGGTTAATTTTGAAAACTGTTTTTATCAGACACTAACTGTTATACCCTTGCAGAGGGTATTATAATTTTATCGTGAAATATGTAACCCGTAGAAGGATACATCTCCGACCCCATAAAGTATATTTCTTGATCAGCATCAACAGCCGAGTCAATATAGCCATGTCCGTCTGTCCTAAGTCTCCCAGTTTAAGGGCTATCGTCATGAAACTTTGAATAAGTTCCGCTCGGACCACTATGTCATATAGCTGCCATAGGAACGATTGGTCGAAAATTAGGTTTTTGTATGAAAAACTTTCTTAACCTATTTAGGTATTAACTATTGTCCCTGTGCTGTTAAGATAAGGCTCAAGATAAGGTTCAATCTGCAAGAATATTAAATAGTCCTTTCTTCTCGTTTAGCTAGCAAATATGCTTTACATATTTTATCTATTGGATTTTAGAGCAAATTTAATTAATTATTTATTATTAACTTTCTCAGTTTCGCAGTTTGTAATATATTTACATTTTATAAATTTAATTTAAAATTGTATATATACATATATATAAATTTATTATATATTTTATTATCATTTTATATTATTATATATATTTATATTTATACATATTTCTATTTATTTATATAAAATATTTTCTTTTAACTGTTGCTAAATGTTTTGAAATAATTCAATATGTCTATGATAAGTTGAGACTTATCCTATTATAATACACTAAAGTCTACAATTCTGCAGCTGTTTTTATTCAACATGTTTATAAAAAACGGCAACTTTTATAAGAACTTATAGAATCATATTTTTTATTAAGCCAGAACTTAATTTGTTTTTGCATAGATCAAATAGCTGCTTTGTTGGCTGCAATTTTCGATATCAACTTTTCAAAGTCATTGTAAGAGCTGCTCAACTCATAAATAAAATATCTGCCAAGCACTTCACTTCACGCAGCTCATAACACATTTCTTTTTTTTTATATTTTTAATATCGCAAATCATCGCATAGCCCAAAGGCAAAATTGCTTTGACTCAAAGCAATCAAAAGAGGGAGTGGGGGTTGGACAGGGGTCGACTTAAAATGCAAGCTCCATAATTCCATAGCTCCAAAGCTCCATTTGGCGAGCACCTTTCATCAACATCTGTTGGCAACCGTCCGCAAACCAAAAGCGGAAGGACCCAATATTTGTTTTTTTATATCTTTTTTTTTTTTAACTTTGCCATTGCGTTATATTCAATTTCTATGCAGCGCATCCTGTCAATTTTTTCAACTAATTTTTATTGCACTCCTGCTCTCTCTCTCTCTCTCTCTTTCTCTTTTTCACTCTCTCTATCCCTCGCTTGGAACACTTTTAGCGTAACCTGTCGAATCAAAGTCATGTCGTGCTGCAGTCGGTGCCGCTGAATATTTCGGGCAAATTTACATGCGAAATATCTGTGGAGGCGCCCACTTTTCAAACGGCGATGGTCTCTGGCGAAATGGAGGTGGTGGGTAAGTGAAACAAGATGAAGTAGCAGCAGAAGATGGAGTAGAAGATGAAAATTAACCCCATGCAATAAAATTGCTATCAGCAGTTGGCAAAACGAGAAATGGTGGCAAATAAAAAATTTGGTAATGGCAGCCCGCTTTTCCGAAAGCAAATTAATTAGACAAATGGGCGCCAGCCTTTGCCAAATTTTTTTTTTTTCCAACTAATTTTACATTTTCATTATGCACACAGTGTGACTGCCTCTCTCTCTCACACACTCTCCCTCTCTCTCTCTCTCTCTCTGTCTCTTGCAGAGTTACCGGAAGAGCACACAGTGGTTACCGGGATACAGGCACGTTATCGCATTGGCGATTTGGTCGACGGCAATTGCTCAATTAAATACTCGAAACCGGCTGCTAATTTGACATGGACTATTAATGGTATTGTGGTAAGTTTTGGTTTCGGTTACGCTTCGGTTACTCTGCTCGTTTGGCATCCATTTCGATCCCGCCATTCAATTAGAGTGCGCTTCGGGCCAATTTCAATTGATGGCCCCGCAATTTTTCAATTAGTCGCAAAAGCATTCCGCATAAAAGTTTCCTTTCAGCACTTAGTTTTCACTTCAATTGCGCATTTGTGGGCAACGAATATATTTAAGAGGTGTTATCGACCATTTTACGTTTTTGCGATATTTTCCCTCAAGGTTAAATGTTATTAGAATGCATTGGCTTATTGGCTGGTTTGTATGGTTATTTGTTCTTTACTCGAACTTATCGCTAATGCGTATAGAATATAATTATTTATAATTATCTTTGCCTTTTGAAGGAGACATATCCGATCAGTATCAACAGCAGTCAATAGTTATCGAGTTATCGACGAGAGCCTGTAGCAGCCGACGTTAAGGACTGTTATGTAACAGAAGGTATGATAACAGAAACATGTTACATGCTAAAGCTTTCAAAGTGAAGAGACCTGTATGAGATCGGGGTATTCAAGGTTTAACAATAGCTTTTGGTTCAAGGAAATAGTTTTTAAATATTTTCAAGTAGAAGATGGTATATATTTGAATGTTGTTAAGACTCGAGTGGGATCTAGGAGAATCTGAGATCGCCTAGATCTTTTGAATTATAATCAAATATATCCAGATTCACAACACAAAGATTTTAAGTTAAAACCAATTATATATCGACAAAAGACAACGGCCCATCTATTTGTGTGTGTATATCGGTTTCTTATCGATAGACCTTCGTTAGATATATGTTAATTAACAGGATAGTTTTAAATCCTGACTGTCTCGATATTAAGCTAGACGAAAGCAGCCCGATTTAATGGCTCCAGAAGATCTATCCCTACCTAAATATATTTCATTTATTTCACACAAAATATTATATTCATCTTTGTTTAATTTTACATTTAATTTTTTATTTGGTCTGACTCAAGATTCTACTTCTTGTACTTCTTTGGCAAGCATTTGATTGCTTCTATTTTATTTTTTATTTTTTCGCTTGATTCTTTAAAACTCTTTAGAGCTGTTGGCCGGCGATTACTTGCTTTCCCGGCGCTTCGAAACTTTGTGCAGTTGGATCGTTTGGCAATCTTTTAGCGTTTAGTGTGTGATTTTTCATTTCCCGTGTGTGTTGCACACTTTTTGGCACCTGCGTTTCCTTTTGCTGTTTTGCCTTCGCCTCGACTATCCCCAGCCATACTATATATATTTTGATAGGCAGTCACTTTTTATGCCTTCTCATTCTCTCTCTCTCTCTCTCTCTCTGTTGCTGGCTGTTTTATGGCCGCAACCACAGCAGGCAGCTTCAACATATCGCGCCATTTGGATGTTGGGTGGTACAGGTGTGTGGAAGGGGTAGAGGGGGAGGGGGGGATACAGGTAGCTTGGCTTGGCTGGCTGCTGTCATAGTTCCGCATGATTTCACACAGTTCTGTGACTGTGCCTGGACCTGGGCTTGGGGTCGACAAAAGTGACATGGCCCGGCATTTTTGGGTCTGCTGCCATTTTGGTGCGTTTGTTTCAAGAGACGTTTCGGTTGTCAGCTAATTTTTTATGTGTAGAATAGCCCCCATACCCTGAACTGGGCGAGAGCATTACGTATGAATTCTTGTCTACAGACTATGTTATTGCTGCTTTAAATTATTTGCGAGCGAGCAAATGGCTGGATATGGTGTAGAGGTGTAAATGCCCTGTAAAAAAACAGTATATTTTATGTGGAAACTCATCTTTCAATCGAAATTTGTCTAGTTTTACGCCTAGTTTTATGGAGATAAACAAATTGAGAAATAGTCAAGCCCATATCAAGAACTTACATCTCAAAGATATAGAATAAGTTGATCTACCCTCAGCTAGGGTATATAAAGGGACAGCAGACAGCAGAAGTTAGTGTGGGCGTGTTTGGGAGCATTGTCAATGTCAGTTTGGTTGGGTTCAAGTCATATTTCATTAAGTGTGGGCATTTTTTTGTTGTCGTGTACAAGTTGTAAGTTTTGCTTAGGTGCTGGTAAAAAGGCGAGGACATTTTCACAGTGAATTGCTGATGCAAATAGTACGAAAGAAAATGGGAAAAGCCTGAGATTGTGCCATAAATAAAATATTTTATGCCAGCTTAAAGGCGAGAAACCGCTGTTGTTTGCTTCAAAACTAAATTAAATGTAATTAAATCTAAAATGTTCTTAGCAACATTTGTAAAAATTGATCTCCAACTTTGCTTTAAAGAACTATTTAAATTTTAGATTTTACAACGCGCCAAAAAACATTCTCATATTTTACATAGCCAATTCATAAAATGCAATTTTATTCTAGTAACTCTCTAAATTAAATTTATTAATTTGGGCAATTTTAAAAAATATTTTATAGCTAAAATAAAAAAATAAATTTCGATATTTAGCGTAATTGAAAAATTGCTAGGCATACCTAGTTAAGCTAAAATTTTGGAAATAGAAATGCAAGCAAAAAATGCAAAAAGTAAATAAATAAAAGCAATTTTATATACATGTTATATAGATAAATTCCACATAAAAGTTTGCCATTTGCGGCCACTTTTTCGTGGCGAAAAAAAATACAGGTCCTTGCTGGCATTAAGTGAAAGGACCCAGAGAACAACTGAGAAAGTTGCAAATATATATAAATACATATATAGATATAGATATATTTTTTATCATTATCAAACAAGCAACTCAGCAAAAACTAACACAAACAACACTCGAGTGTGGTCTGGTGTGTGTGTGTGTGGGTGTGTGTGTGTGAGTGGGTTTTGGTGTGTGTGCGTTGGTTCGCCACTTGATCTTTTAGCTAACGAGCGCTTTTCAACAGAACCTGCCCCATGCCTCCCTCATTCATGTGTGGCTGCGTGAAGGGACGAAGGGGCGAAAGGGGTGGTGGGAGGGTGGTGGGAGGGTGGAAGGGGGAGGGGGTGTGGCTGTCAGGCTGGCAACGTTATCTGCAGGCACTTCAAACTAAACTCACCGCAAACAAAGTGGCCTCGTGCTGGCTCGACTGCCTTCGTCCTCACCTCGTCAACCTTCCCCCAGGCTTTGCTCCACTTAATCACTCAAGCGTGAATCTATTCATCATTCATAAGTTATAAATTTGCCTGCTGTGGCATGTTTTTTGGGCGTAAGAAGTGGCACAGGCTCAGGACCCGGCCGAAGGACCACAGCTCAGAACAGGACACGGCACAGTTTCCACTTAACAGTCGCCACTTGTGCATTGTGCATTGTGTGTGTGTGTGTGTGTGTGTGTGTGTGTAGTTGAGTGTGGCATGATGAGTGGAGACAACTGATGTCGCATATCTGTAAGATGCAGCGCCTTTTGATAAATATATATTTATAAATTTGAGTCTGAAACTCTTTTGAACAGATGTATTGAAGCGTGGATTCGTTTCGATTCATTTGTGACCCAAAACATGCCTCTTGACACACACACACACTCTCAATTGACAATATCCGTTTCTCATTTTTGTTTCGTGCAGGTGCCGCCGCATCATATCAAGACCTATCAGATTGAGAAACAAGCGAATAGCACTCTGGAATCGGTGACAAGTGCCATTCACTTTATGGTAACCACACAGCATTTTCTCAAGGGTCAGATGAGGGTATGTGCCAAAGAATGCACGGTACAGTGGTCGCACGCTACAAAGGACTTGCTGCAAATCTTCGTTTATTATAATAGAATATATATTGCACAAGTAACAGCGGTTATAGTTTGCGAGCGACCACTGTACTTGTAATATGCCAGGCATATATACCAGAAGTACTTAAAGCTCTCTTCAAATTCACAGCTCAAATGCACGGCCAACATATTTGATATATTCAAAGAGGAAATCGAAAGCATTATCGAAGAAGATCGACCCAGAATAATGGCATCCGGCAGATCGTACGATATCAATAATTATCCCCTGGACGAGCATGGCAATGGGCATGGCGATCGAGAACGTGGAGGCTATGAGGATCACAATGAATCGTATTTGACGCACTTGGCGCGTAAGTGTTGAAAAATGCAGCAAAAAAAAGTGTTTTAAGCAACTTAACTATAGGTCACAAATACTTAAGAATTTTCTAAGCAGAGCTTATTCCTTTAAGCAACTAATTGCAACTAATTGACTGGGCATATATCTTATATAAGTTGTCTAAGTCTTTGGTCCAGTGTTGAACAATTTATGGATATACGATGGGCGGCTGTTTAGATCAAACAATAGAAATTCCATTTTTTCCCCCCTTTTTCTTTTTCTTCTGATGGAATTTACTCAGCCGAGCACCGAGCTCTAATGCCGCCTCAAGTAGTTTTAAAACTGAACTGGAAAACCTTTTAACAAGTGTTTGCCTGCCTGATCCTAGCTGCATGCAAACTGCACTTGAACGGCAAGTGGGGGTTAGGTGGGGTGGGGCAACATTTTTGAGCATCTGCTATGTCAACTTTCAATGGTTGCCCATCAAGCCACTTGGTGTCCTGCGATCCCCGCTCCCCTGCTCAGCGCCCCTCTCTCACGACTCGTTTGCCGCTCGAACATACAACGTAAATTATGCAAATAACATTTGCCAGCATAAACATTCCGGCAGAGGCAGCTGCTGCTGCTGCTCCTGGAAAGTGGCAGCAGGATAACCGACACGCTTATCGAATCAAATGTTGGGCCAAATCAAATTGCTATAAACTTCGTTTCAGACAGTGAAAGATTGTCGCGGATTGTCGTTGCAGACGAGAGCTGATTTTGTGTAGCTGTAGCCCAGAGGTAATTCCAGCCTTTGGGGTCTACTTGCATACCCTGTAAATGGCCTAGGCTGGGTATATGCGATGTTGGTTTTAGTTAATCTGGCAGAAAGTTATTCATATTTGCATTTTTCATAGTGTGCGGCAGAAATAGTAACTACGAGGTATCTGCTAGTCGGGCATTTTTGTTGGTAGCACACTCGCACTTGCCTCTCTAATTTTCGCTGGGGAAAAGCAAGCTGATTGCTGTGTGGTTTATGGGTAACACTCGTTCTCCCTCTCACTCTCTCACACACACTTTCGCTATTTGCCAGAGTTGCCACTTATTTGCGGCAACATTTACTTAACGCCAAAATGCAACAACAACAACAACAACAATAACAAATACAACATTGTAAACGCATTGAGCTGCAAATTGTATTTAAAATTACATCGACTTCAAAAAATTGAGAAAATATATTCAACGTGCGCATAAAAGTATGCAACATTCTTTGCTGCAAGAAGAGCTCACGCTCGGGAAATTCACAACATTTTTGGGTGGGTTTTCGCAGTTTACCCTTTGTAGTTTCGATTCGAGTGAATTCGATTTTTGTGAACTTTATGCAAATGCAATGTTGACATGAACACCACACACACACACACACACACACACACACGAGAGTATATTGACTGGCCTTTTTTTTGGGTGGCAGAGACTTATCAGATATTTTTCAGCTGGTAGCAAGTGACTTAAGCTCAATGGAGTGCAAGGGTGTAGCACAACTGAATGTAGCTAATATGGAAATCAGAATTTCAAGAGCATAACGTACTAGCAAATATTACACGACTTTGTCAAAAAGTACAACAAATTTAAAATAATTACTCTTGCAACCACATTCGTTCATTTTATAAATAGAGAATTAGAGAATCAGTTGAAAACAGTCTGATAACTTGTAGTGTATTCAAAGTGCGATATGGCCCACAAGGATTCAGTGGAAACTGCGTAAGCTCTGCTTGAACAAGACATGAGAGAGTGAATAACCCCAAATATGTGCTCTTATTAAGAGAGCTCTGCTTAAGTAATACATTAGACAGTAATTACCGTTAGTATGTATGTAAGAGAACATGCCAATATACTCAAACATTACAATTTCCCATAGCACATTTGATTAGGGATGTTTTTAAGTTCGATATATCTCAAAGAGACATATCCCATTAGCTTAAACTCTTATTAAGAGTGAATAACCCTTAATATGTGCTCATAATAAGAGAACATGCAAATATCCTCCAGCAAAACAATGTCCCATAGATCAATCAAGTCAATATCCCTATTGGACATTTAATTGGGGATATTTTTATTATTTAAAATCCCATAAATATCTTTGCAGCTCCACGGCACACACTCTTTAAGCTATATAGCTTTTTTAGTGCTTAGAAAATCTTCTTGCTAATGCACACGTCACGCAACACACAGACAGCTTTCTCTCTTAATAATCCGCTCTGCCTCGCTCACGCTCTCTCTTTCTGTCGCTTTTGCAGCGGATAACAGCGCGTCGGGCGCTTCGAGCGCTGCTCACGAAATCTTCTGGCGCGTTTGGCCATTCAAGCTTATGGAGGCGCTGCCATTTCAGCACATAACAAAGCTTCACACACACATCAACAGGCAGCTTTCAAAGTGGGCGTGGCACTCTGCTAGATGCGCCACATGGCTTAGCGCAGCGAACGGAATTGCGACGGCGACTGCATTCGCACTGCCCCTCTGCCTGTGGGTGGGCCATCAAATTAACAACTGTCAATACGCCAGCGACAAAGCAGCGACGCAACAGTCGGCCAGCGACGGTGGCGACGGCGGCGACGGCGGCGACAGCTGCGACGGCGGCGTTGCGCGTGTTGTCAATGTGACAATGTCAAAGGCAGCGTCGAATGAGAGCGACAAATGCTTTTATAATTGTCAAATGGCATTGGCAACACTTTCGGGCTGTCTGCAACGGAATGACGATAAAGATGATGATGTTGATGATGATGGCGATGATGATGATGACGATGCTGGGAATATGGCAAGTGCTGCCGAGTCAGGCGTTGATTTAACTGCTGCAGCAGCAGCAGCAGCAGCAGCAGTGGAAGCAGTGGAAGCACTAAAGCGCCAACATCAACAGCTGTCAGCGACACTTGGCAAAGTGGGCGCGGCCGCGCTGCCGGATCAACGATTATTGATGACTTGGCCGACGCTGGCTGCGGCAGCGGCAGCGATAGCGACCTGCTGATGCTGAATTAATGATGAAATGCATTCCGGAAAGTAGCTTAAGGTGCTGCACATTTCTCTTAACCAACACGCCATATTTGTTTTTTTCTCTTATTTGTTTTCATGCGAGTAGTAGCGCAATAATTAACGCCAGAAGCAGAAGCAGAAATAAACAAAAATTAATAAATATTTGCGCAGCAGTACGCCTTGGCACAAACATACTTAAGAGTGGCAAAAGCCCGGTTTGGGCTTCAGGCCGGATGACGTGGGGGTAGAGCAAGCAAAGAGAAGCTTAAATAATATTAAAGAGGCAAATTGTAATATGATAAGGCAAAGAGAAATGTAATAAACGTAATTCAAGTAAATATTATAATTATAAAAAATAATGTTTATATGTATGCAACATATGTATGCAAAAACAAAAAAAAAACAGGTGAAGCTCATTAAAATAGCATTAATTAATATAATAATTACAAAATCATAAGTATACAAAATTATATAATTATGTATGTATAAAATGCCGTTGCAATTAGTAAGCAATAGGGAAATTTAAGAGTAAAACTTACCCTGCAGCCATTTCCCTCGCTCGCTGCCTTCGTAATTTCCCCCCTTTCATTTTCACTCACTTTCGTTAACATCGCGAAATACACAGCCAAAGCCTATCCAAAATTGACGTTGACTGCGCTGCTTTGGGCAGTTGAGAACACAGCAATAACAATAACAAAAAACAAAAAATTCACACACACCAACAAGACTAGGCTTTTTCTTCTTCTTTCTTCTTGCATTACCCATGCTGACTGCGCTGCACATGCAGACTGCGCTGCCTTTGCGCAAGGCTCACAACAGAATGGAGATCAGAATATCACAGCAAAAAAATAATAAAAAAAAAAACAAACAAGCAAAACAAAACAAACAAAAAATCACACACACAAGCTGTTCCCAAGGTCAGGGATTTTTATTTTCTTTCTTGCATTACCCACGCTGACTGCGCTGCCAGCTTTACGCGCGCTTTCCGTAATCTTTTAGGCACACTTAATTACGTAATAATAACATTGAATACAATTCCTTTACACTACCGACGCGATTTGCGCGCACGCTCTCCGTTTTAATGCGGACACACGCCAAACCGAAGCACTTCGCACGACTGCGCAAAAGCAACTGGCAATTCGAAATTTCCTTTGCACTAGTAAGTAGTGCCCAAATAGGGAATTTATGCTCTCGGTCTCCTTATATCGCTTCCACACACTTTGTCAGTCTGTTGTTTATTTATTTTTTAGCAGGACTTTTTTTGTTATGAGAAAAAATACATTTTTTTTAAAAACAAACCTTCGCTTCGTACAAACACCTTACTTTAGTTAATTTTTATATCTTATTTTCCAACACAAGGCATTTTGTTGTGAGAAAAAAACAATTTCCTTGGCTGCAGGCTGCACACTTAATTGAAGATATTTAAAGAGAGCAAATATACACATGTTTTTGTATGGCAGCGAGCTTTCCTTCACAAATTGCGATCACATGTTAATACATAACATTAACTTAAGCCGCACACAAACGAAAGAGAACTGTGAAAAGCTTTTGCGGTCAAACTCTAATCTGATCTTCAACGTTGCACTTGAGCTTAGCTTTTATATATCGTAGTGCAGTTTACAGAAGAGAAAGAGGAAACGCAAGAAGCTTTTCATATAATTTCTAGTGTTTGCGCAGTTAATTTGTAAATAAAGTTCTGCTAAACATGAGAATGGAAGAAACAAACAAAATGAAAAACAAATATATATATATGTATCTGTATATGTAAGCTGGTATAATAATAACAAGATTATATAGAAAGGAACTTTTTACGGTTTTGGAAGCACGCAAAATTAATTACAAAAAAAAAATATAAGTAACTTTTAATTTGTAGACGCAAAAAAAGGTGAATTACAGCAAATTCAATGAAACGCTTAAACAAAAATCTGTTTTATTTCAGCAAACTAAAAACAACTACAAATTATTTAACATTTTTGGCAAACAAAAATCCAACGGTAAATAGTTCCTTTGCCTTATAAATGAAATCGATGTAACTGTAATTTGGAAGCATGGAAACGCAAAATGTAAATGAAATAAAAGCTCTTGGGAAATTAATTCCAAAAAAAAACAAGTTGGGAATTAAAAAAAAAGAGAACTAAATAGAAACTCCCGTAGCTAATAATATTAATAATCAAAGGGCAAACAGAAGTAAATAAAATATTAAATAATATTGTAATCAAAACTTTTGAATAATTGTATATAGTAAAGTACGCTGAAAAGTTGTCTAAATAGCACAAAATCAATTGTGAATTTATGGTTAGTAAATTTGTATGTGTAAATGTTGAATATGATATACATGCAGATATATACCCAGATATATATATATATATATATATCCGATATAATGCATGCTAAGGTTTATCTAATCAAAAAGTGTTGTGAAAGTTGTCTTCCCTGATTTACGTTTGCTCAATTTTCTATATAAATCAATTTTTCATTTCCCGTTTCAGTTCTGTTCAGCTTTATAAACATAGAATATACATTGAAACACACACATATATATATAATAAATAATAGGCATTATATAGATGTTATTCATGAATTGTTAGTGTATATAGAAAGTCGTAGAGAAACTACGTATATTTGTTCATTTCAATGTTTTCGATATAAACAATAAACAAAACGATATTTAAACATGAATGTTGTCTAGCAGCTAAGCCCGAAATTAGACTTTAGATTAACATATAATATACGATTAATATAAATAAAAGCTTATATTGAATATAAAATACATATTCATATCTGAAAATAAATGCGAAATGAAATTAAACAAATAATCAACAATGTAAAGCAGCAAAAGAAAGAAGAATACCAAAATAAAAAAACAATCGGAAAATGTTGTAAAAAGTAAAAATATACATTTAAAAAAAGAATCACTTAATATAAGCAACAAACATTTAAATAAAATAAATGCATAAATGTAAAAAGTAAATTTAAATAAAAACTGGCAAGCATTAGTATTTATGGCTATGGGTTAAATAAGAAGCAAATCAAATATATAAACATAAATAAACAATAATAAATTATAAATAACGATATCAAATGTTTCTTTCTACCATATTTTTAACAGGGCCACGAACTTACGCCGCACACTGTAAGCCAGCCACAGCGCCATCTATGGGCGCACGACGAGAGCACGCAACTATTCGTTAAGCTTGTGAACAGGCTGTGGCCCACTGCAAAGCTTTCCTTACACAGGCAAAGCTTTTGTGCGAGCGCAGTTATTGCTGCAGCTGCTGCTGCAATTGTTTTTTTTTTTTTTCATTTTTATCTATTTGCACACGTTGATCTGTGAGCTTTTGGATACGTGCAGCGCCCCGCGCAACCCTCGTGCAGCACCTTAGTCAAGCAAAGCTCCGCCTGAAGGTCAGATGGGACAAGATCCCGCATCGGGCTGTGCAGTTAACGCGCTTCAATGACGACGAAAGCACCGCCCGAGTCCGTTTGCATTTACTACGACGCGTTGTATTTCGAATAAGGCCAAAGAAAAACTCAATTAAGTTAAGTGTTTAATTTAAAAATAGAAAATAAAATAAAACAAAAACCAAGCTACGCTTTAAACCACTTTACCTTGACTCGGTTCGGACAACAGCTTCAATTCGTTTTTCAATTTCTTTTTTTTTTCTGTCTTTTCTACGCACGTGTCTTGCTCTATTGATTGTATCTCCCCCTCCTGCGCGCACCTGTCTTCGGTAGTGATTATCTTTTTTGTGCTTAAATCGAAAAGTTAAGCGGCTGAACACAAATTTGACCAATTGACGAGCGTCTAATATTTTTTTTCTTTGGCTGATTTATTTAATGTGCCTATTTATGATTTTATAAATATTTATTGTGTTAATTCAAACGAAAAAGTTAATAAATAACTAATTTGTGTCCTTTGTGCTATTTAAAACAAAAACCTATTACAAATTGCGGTAAGTATTTTTTCATTTTTGTTTTGGCGGGAAAAAATGTGTGCTTATAACTGTGTGCAAGAACTTTTATCTCTTCCCGATTTGCTTTAGCGCAATGTTCTTCCAAAATGTTAACGGCATGTTAGCTAGTTAACAGCGCTCTGTTCATGCTAAACAACAGATATGTTTAACAGAAACGTTTAAATCTAATGCTCAATACAAAAAAACGTTATTCAAATGTGGAAGTGTATAAGATATAAATAAAAAATCTCAAAAATCTCAATTTAATAAAAATACAAATATATATATTAAACGAAATGCGTGTGATTTTTGGTGCTTATATTATGCATATACCTTTGAGCTGCAGTAGCAGGGAAATTCGACTCTGTGGATATGACAAAAGAGAGCGCTCTCTTTATTAACAGCCGCTCTCACAAGCTGTCGTCGCCTGACAGCTCAAGCCCAACTCTCTGTAAGTTTGTTTTGTTTGTAAGAATCGAATTATTTTGCACTCTCTGCGAGCGGTTCGTTGACCCAGGCGGCCTCTTTAGTGCATTTATCCAGGCGTCGGGCCACATTTTTCCCATTGGCTAATCCCAATTTACAGTTGCCGCCTTCTGTTGCCTCGGCAGCTTTTGCCGCTGACAAAAGCATGCGATCGATCCCTGGCCTCCAGCTCAAATGCCGACAGTCCGTTCAATTGCCTTCGAGTCGTCCAAGTGAAAGCAGCAAAGTTCCTAGCTAAAAATAAAAAAAAAAAAAAATTATAAATAAATTGCTAGCAATTTATGCGAAAACAATAAAAAAAAAAACCAATATCACTTCCAAGTTCAAAGTTATTTCATACTTGAAATATATCTTAAAAAAAAGAAAATAAAATAAAGAGATCAACTTTATTATAATAAAAGACTCTATATATGCTAATATAGACAAATCTATTGCGTTGATCACAATTTAAATGCCTTTCGTCGAAAGATTCGTACAAATTCGTAATTTTGTTATGAACGTTTGTCTCGTCGAGGCCCAACAATTTGTCCAGGACCTAACGCATGCCATTTGCTTGGACTTTCGAGGCCTACTCAATCTTAAATAGAGCTGGCGAACTGGTTCGGTAAGTGGTTCGGTTGTTCGAAAAGTGACTCAGTTAAAGTGAAAGTGTAACTGTAAATATATGTATGCCCAGTTTTTTCTCTTCTTTCTTTTCTGTGCGTTCTTTGCGTTTCCGTTTCTGCAAATGGGCTGTGTCAAAGGAAACCTCATGGCTGTCTAGCAAATATCACAGAGAGGTTATGTTAGTGCCTGGAAATTAGAAAACTATCTAAAACTCATTCGTAATTATAAGGGAAACCGAATGCATTCATAGCCATAACCTCAAAGAATGGACTTCAATTATAATTATATGACAACTTTGAACGATTGATTCCATTCCATTCTCATTTCCATTTTCGCCTTACTTTTACGGCCATTTGTCATGTACACTGTTAACATTGCACTTTCATGTTTCATACACAGCTCACCTCATCAATTACAGTGTTGCTCAGACTCAACACACACACACACACACTCACACACACACACACACACACACACACACACACATACACCTACTCTCACACACGCACCGAATCGCATCTGAACCAAAAACCAAAGACGAACATCCTTTAAACGACCTTTTGCTTGGTTTTCAAAACTAAACGACCATTCGATAAACAAATTGAACAAGTTGCAAACAACAACCGTTAATCGATTAGTTGATAACCGTTAACCGTTAACCGATAACCGATAAGCGATAACAACGACATGCTCTCCTGTGCCCCATTTAATAAACTGATTTACCCAACGGCCGCGGACATCTCTGCCATGGCCAGCGCCAAAGCGACCCCCGTCGCCGTCGGCCTCACCACCCTCTCCCTGCCCACGGGCCCAGCGGGGGCCAGCGGTGCGCCGAGCGAGACGCAGAGCGAAATCTCCTCGGTGGACAGCGACTGGAGCGACATACGGGCCATTGCATTAAAATTGGGCGTACAAAATCCGGACGATCTGCACACGGAGCGCTTCAAGGTTGATCGACAGAAACTGGAACGCTTGATAATGGGTAAAAAGTGTGGCCAAATTATTCGAATTATTAACAACAATTTAACTACAATTACAGCGGACAGCGCCATTGAGGGCATGAACGGGGCAGAGTATTTCTTTGATGATGTAAGTTGAGAATTCAATTCGTAAATTCACATAGAATACTTTCTGCATGACATATTATATTTTATTTAAATTTAAATTAATTTAAATTTTATTGAAACGTCAAACGTCAAGAATTTTATATTTTTCCTTGACCCCATTCCTTTTGAATTCCACTAATTTATTAATTTAAAATTATTATATATATGTGTTATAATAATAATAATATCCTCTAATATATTTCCCTCATTATTAGATTATGTAAGCGTATTCCAATATCCTTATATACTAATATCTTTAGTTAAATATTAAATTTCCCTCTAATTATCTTTTATTTATTTAACAATATTTTTATTTTATTATAATTTTATTCTGTTATATAGGTAGTTACATAATACAGTGAAAACTAGGTAGTGAGAGTCGTTTATTAATATTCTTTTAATTCAATATATAATTATTATTATAGACAAAAATATATATATTATTCTATTAAATATGCATGTACATAATATTAATTTCTAATTTATTTTTCTCCAGTCAACATTATTATTAAATGTGTGCCTATATTAGATACTCGCTAATATCCTTGTCGAATATTAAAATCTAAAATATCCTATAATTTTGATTTATTCTTGAAACTTTTTAATAATATTTTTACATAAATTTCAATTTTTATGTATCTATGAAGTGTTTAAATTTGTATTCTAACTTTTTGGAAACGAACTCTAAACTTTATATTGTCCAAAAACACAAATTGTTTAAAATAAACACATCTATTTGTTGCAATTGATTTTTGTATTTTTAAAATACTTATTTTGAGTGAACAATCTATTAATTAACTGTCGTTTTTTATTTTATTCAAATTTATTAATAATATGCTCGTGTTGCTTAAGCTCAGATATAAGTTAGTTGAGACTTGAACCAGGAGGACCTCTCAGGCACATGTCACAAGTTTCAACTTTATTGTCTTATCTTATATAATTGCAAATGGAAGTTGGAAGATGGAAGTTGTTCGGGTTTTGCTCAGTAGGCATTCGATTTAGTGTATAGATCAAATATATTTCACACTCGTACAAATTATTTAAACGTTACAACAAAATTCACATTTAAACGTTTAGCCGACACATTACAAATTTTAGTGAAGAAACCATAAATGTTTAGCTAATTATAATTACCGAAACAAAATTCAAGTGTATTATAAAAAGACGCATATATATAACCTATATATGCATATATACTTATTATCTTTTAGATCATGAACACCACGGATACATATGTGAGCTGGCCTTGCAGACTGAAGATCGGCGCCAAAAGCAAAAAGGGTGAGTCCCAAAAATACCTACACTTATGCAGCTTATATTTATCTATCTATCTATCTATATATCTTCCATCTAGATCCACATGTGCGGATTGTGGGCAAGGTGGAGCAGGTGCAACGTGCCAAGGATCATATTCTGGGCAGTCTTGACTCCAGGGTGCATATGAAAATTTACATGAATATTCAGCTGTATTTTCTATATATCTCAATATATTTCCTTCTGTTTTTTTTTTTTTCTTTCAGGGCACTCGCGTCATTATGAAAATGGATGTTAGCTATACGGATCACTCGTATATCATTGGACGTGGCGGCAACAATATTAAACGCATCATGGACGACACGCACACGCACATACATTTCCCGGACTCGAATCGTTCGAATCCAACGGAAAAATCAAATCAGGTGTCGCTGTGCGGCAGCCTGGACGGCGTGGAACGTGCCCGTGCTCTGGTGAGACTATCGACGCCGCTGCTCATCTCCTTTGAGATGCCAGTTATGGGGCCAGGCAAGCCGCAGCCGGATCATGAGACGCCATACATCAAAATGATTGAGAGCAAATTCAATGTGCAGGTAAATGAAAAACACTTGACGAATAGGAATAAAGTCGGGTTTCGGTTTACGGTTCGAACCAGCTCAATTTCATGCTTGCCTAGATCCCAGGGTTGAGCCCAAGTTAATTATCCCATAAGAGTCTTTTACTCAAAAATGTGATTCTTTTTGTAGCAACTTAATTTCGATTCAAATTCATGTTCAAATAATCTGAATTTCTTATATCGCCATCTGCTTGGGCCAGGTCATATTCTCATCGCGTCCCAAGCTGCACACATCTCTGGTGCTGGTCAAGGGCTCCGAGAAGGAGTCGGCGCAGGTGCGCGATGCCACCCAGCTGCTGATCAATTTCGCTTTTGAGAGCATTGCGGTAAGTTTCACGTAGAGCAGCATTGGAACTGATATTAAGTTGCGTCTAATTTAGAGCCAAATTCTTGTGAATGTGCAAATGGAAATATCGCCGCAACATCATGAGATTGTCAAGGGCAAGAACAATGTTAATCTACTGAGCATCATGGACCGCACACAGACCAAAATCATTTTTCCTGATCTGACTGATATGAATGTTAAGCCGCTGAAGAAATCACAGGTGACAATCAGCGGACGCATCGACGATGTCTATAGGGCGCGACAACAGTTGCTTGGCAATATGCCCGTTGCATTGATATTTGACTTTCCGGACAATCAGACCGATGCATCCGAAATAATGGGACTCAATCTCAAATATGGTGTCTATATAACGCTGCGCCAGAAGCAGCGACAGAGCACACTAGCGATCGTCATCAAGGGCATTGAGAAATTTATCGGTGAGTCTTTGAAATATTTGTAGAAATTTGTAGTCTCTACTCTTCTCTGCGTTGACAGATAACGAATTACCAATACGATTACGATTACCAATAAACGATATGAATTTATCGATAGTCGAACGCATTATTTACCATTTCTACTTTACGATACGAATATCGATATATTTGACAGCAGGACTCAGTTGATGGTTCAAACCCACACTTTGCCTGCAGGTTCAGTTCGTGGACCACATTTTCCTCATCAAGTAGCCTCCAGGCAATGCTTTGAACTTCTTTCACTTATCAGAAACAACTTTTTCAACTATAAAAAAAAAAATAGTAAACTTGAAAGGCAACATTTATAATATTGAATATTTTTATGTCACAAAATTCAATGTCATAAAATTCAATATTTTGCATTAAAATTTATGAATAGAAAAAAAATCTATTACAAATTGTCTCGCTTTACGTTTAATTTATACGACCTTAGCTTTACCTTCGTATCCAATTAAATTTCTGCCATTCGAGTTTTGTAACAATCTAATGCATAATCGCTTTGCATTCTAGATCTATAAATATCCTATAGACCCCTCGCTTAAATGAGTTAATGAATTATGGAAAATTCTTTGAAAATATATCTTGAAATTATATGCGTATAAAAGATTTATATTTAAGTCAGATAATGTACTGGAGTTGTCTTTTTTTCTTTCTGGCTTTGAGTCTTCAGTATAATTTAATTTCCTTTTATTTTCTTAAGAGATATTTAAAATATAAATACAAAAATATGTATATATCGACTTTAATTATTGATGTCAAAATGAAATGAATTAAACTACTTAGGACCAATTATGATAACTTTATTAACCGAATATTTTTAACGTTTTCTCAAAGTGAAACTTCCCTCTAAAATTGACATAAGAATATTTAAAATTAAAATTAGTTAAAATTTCAAAAGCTCTTCAAATATGATTTAATCAAGTTTAATTTATTTATTATACAAATTCAATAACTCTCAAGTAATAGTGAAATATTTCTAGCCCGAAAATTTATATATACAAATATTTATTAAAATAAATGAGAAGTAACTATTAACTATAGTAATTTGTTTAGGGTGTTTACTTAACTTCTTTTAAGCATTGCGATTGAATTTAATTAGGATTTCCGCAAGTATGTTCCCATACTCGAGATATTGATTAGAAAAGCTAAGCTTAATTAAAAACTGATTTAGGAAAAATTGTATTAAACTAATATGTAAAATTAAAAAGCTTAAGCAGCCAAATTATCAAAAAAAAAAAAAAACTTATAAAAATATTTAGTATAGAAAAACTACAAAAACAATAATAAAAAACTAAACATTTTTAAATATTAATTTAAAAATTTTTTTTTGAAATAGTCTTTAAAGTTATTATGAAACAATCATTTTTAACATTTTAATATAGAAAAGCAATTTAAATAATGTTAATGAACAAAAATGTTGAATACTACACAAAATTAGAGAGTAGATTTCTTGTAGAGGTGTATAACCATGCCAAATACTAAGCAGCTTCTCATTTATCTTGCAGACAAAATCTATGAGGCACGCCAGGAGATACTACACCTGACAACGCCCGTCATCAAGCCGGAGATACCCGATCATTATTATATGCCCAAGGACAAGGATGTGAGTCTGGCGTATCGTTCACAGTTGACGGCTCTGCTTGCGGGTTATCCGGATAGTCCGAAGACGCCCTCGTTGTTGCCCCCAACAATGGGTGGCCAGTTGACGCCGTATGGCAATAAGGCTCACATGCTGCTCGCTGCTAATGTGGGCGTTG